AAAAAAGAAAAAAAGAAAAGAAAAGAAAAAAGTATTCTCTGTGTCAACAGTGACATAAATACACAAACCAACCTTCTCAAGTGAAGGTGAGAGGAGGGTATATAATTTTAGCAGTTTTCCTTTCTACTTTATTACATATTTGATTTCTTATTATTTAAAAAAGGACCTGTTAACCAAAGTAATAGTATTTTAAACATTACCCTTTCCTTTCTTTCTCCCCAGCCTCGTTCCAGCTGATACTACATTAAAAATAAATGGGCCGGGTGCAGTGGCTCACGCCTGTAATCCCAGCACTTTGGGAGGCCAAGGCAGGCGGATCACTTGAGGTCAGGAGTTTGAGACCAGCATGGCCAACATGGCGAAGCCCCATCTCTACTAAAAATATAAAAATTAGCCAGGCGTAGTGACACGCACCTGTAATCCCAGCTACTTGGGAGGCTGAGGCAGGAGAATCACTTGAACCCAGGAGATGGAGGTTGCAGTGAGTTGAGATTCACCACTGCACTCCAGCCTGAGTGACAACAAGACTCAGTCTTAGGGGGAAAAAATTACTTTTAAAGTTTATCAATTTTCAGGCTAGTTTTGTAAATCTTAAATTTACTTTCACAATAGTTCTTTCTGAAGAGATGGAAATAGATAAGCCCTTGCTTTAAGAGCTCCAAAGGAAAAGCTCCTTTGTCCCTATCTCACGTTAGTACAGTTCTCACCTGCTATTTTGATATTCAGATTGGCATCCAGAAGTAAATTTTCAGCTTTTAAATCACGATGAACAATGTTCCGACAGTGACAAAAATAGACAGCTGTGACGATCTGTTTGAATTTCCGACGCGCCTCCTTTTCTGCCATTCTACCATGGGCCACCAGGTGGTCTGTGTTGAAGAAGAATACAGTCAGTTTTCATTCTGGACACTTGTATAATTTCAAAAGGTAGACTTTTAAGGAGGGCTACAAGGGGCCCTCTCAAATGAATGAGTTAAAGAAGCAAAATGAACAAAGAGAGAACACTACATCGATAGTCCTGGTTTGCATCTATAAAAATTTATTAGTAATAAATATCCAAACTATTTTAAGTATAAATCCTGTTATACAAAAGCATGCATAAGAACACACTTGTACTTTCGTTTGGAAAAGAGCTCTGAGGGTTATAAGGTATTTATCAAGGATCATAGAACTAAAAACCTTTCTTTTCATATCCCCACTGCAGAAGATTACAGACATGAGCAAACACACATGAAGGTAAGCATCAGAAATATTTCCTGTGTTAAACGGGAGATAAAAAAGCAAGGCCCCAATATTCAATCATTTAAGGAAAGAGTAGACAGAAATTAGTCACTGCTAAGGGGCTGGATAGAGCACTCTGTTTAGGTTACCATCTCTTCTGCTTTCTCAAAGTTCTTCCATTTGACATAAAAACACACTTAGTCCCTGTTCTCTGGAGCGCGTAGTGATATACTCACATCTTTATATCTGCATTTATGGGGCTTACCAAATGGTTCTTAAACAATGTTAATTTTTACAGATAGCATCAATCAAAAACCAAGTGAAGTTTCTACCAACTTAAATAAAATCATTTCATTGGCCATGTTGTTAATTAAGGTATATCAAAAGAATTTACATGTGAAAAAATCTATAATACTATAAAGCAGGCTATCTTCAATATTCAAAAATGATTTGATGGATTAGCAGGTTCTTTAAGAACTTTCCAATAATGGCAGTAGGTTTAGACCAAACCAACGATATACATATCTGTGACTCAGTTCTTTATCAAACCAAAACACAGACAGGTCATGACAGCTAAAGGGATTAGAAATGTCAGCTATGATACAGTGGTTCTGTTAGAAATGGCTAATAGTCTCATGAGCACTGTCCTTTAATTAACTGATCTAGCTCGGAAAAGGACATATTTGCCATCATAAGCATTCTGAGATGGTAGGAAAGTGAAAAATGAGGGAATACAGATAAATATACTGTTGTTTATTTATCAACAGTACTTTTGGTAAGAATACACATTGTTTGGTAACATCTCACTCACAGCACTGGTCAGGTGTATCTTTCCTTCACCACGAAGAGGAATTTCAGGGTAGCACATATTTACTAGCAATAACTGCAAGACTCAACGCTTGTGGCAAGAAACGCCAGGGGAGAAGGTTGAAGAAGAGGAGCTAGATACCGACCCATCTACAGAGCAGACTGTAAAATAATTCAAACTGCATTCTGACCACAAGGAATGTAACATTCTGGAATACAAATACTATAGTCACTTTAAGAACATGTCTTGTATGTAGATAATGTAAATCATTAAGAAAGCTCCTCAAAGGAATTTTTGTGATTTTTGTTGACAATACAAGGCTTTTGAAGCATCTCCCTCAAAAAAACCAAGTCATTGTTATAGGCAAGATTACCAATTTAATAGAAAAAAGGAATAAAATAAGAAGTCTTCCACTTAGCAGTTAAAAGGACTAGAATCAAGCTTTCCCCGGGAGGTCAGAGTTGGGGATAAGCTCCCACTTGGGTGTGTTTAGGCTTCTGGTGGTCTGCTATGAACTTTAAACAACACGAAGTCCCAACTAGGGACAGTAACTTAACAGAAGCTGTGAAAGAACTGGCCATCCATCAGAGGTAGAACGCTATGTTTTAAGAGGCCATTTTCTAACAGTACCTGCTCCTTTGACCCCCTATTTCTCTTAACCCAAGGCCTAATTATTCTAATAATATGTTTTAGTTGCTAAACCTTGTCTAATTAAAGAGCTTTGAAGAGACAGCTATTCTTGAGAAACATAAAAATAAACTCTTATGAAGGTTTACCATCAGAAGCTCATTTGGCCAAGCTACCCATTAATTAAAATGCCCAAGAGACATTCGTCTGGCAGTAAACACTAATTACCAGAACACATCAAAGCGCTTCTTAAATGCTGCAGAATGATTAATTTTATGATTTCCAAAATAAGTGATTTACTTTTATTATGAAACTCTTTATAAATTTCTAAGTACCTCGTTTTCCTAAAATGATTGGAAATTTCTCAAAACTGTTATACAGGCCAGAAGCTGGTGGAATGCAGCCTAGTTCTGTTTTATCTCTACAATGGCACATCAGTTGTCCCTGGACAAATCATTTAGCCTGCCAAAACCCCACCTCTTGATCTGCTAAATAGAAGTAAACTCTGTTGCATGCTATACCCAAAGACAGAATAGAATTATTTGGGAATAAACATGTACTCTGATTATTATACGTCAGCTGTGTGCGGTGGCTCATGACTGTAATCCTAGCACTTCGGGAGGCCAAGGCAGATGCATCACAAGGTCAGGAGATCAAGACCATCCTGGCTAATACACTGAAACCCTGTCTTTACTAAAAATACAAAAAATTAGCTGGGCATGGTGGTGGGCGCCTGTAATCACCTCAGGAGGCTGAGGCAGGAGGATCGCTTGAATCGGGGAGGCAGAGGTTGCAGTGAGCTGAGGTAGCGCCACTGCACTCAGCCTGGGCAACAGAGCAAGACTCCCCTATTTCTCTTAACCCAAGACCTAATTATTCTAATAATATGTTTTAGTTGCTAAACCTTGTCTAATTAAAGAGCTTTGAAGAGACAGCTATTCTTGAGAAACATAAAAGTAAACTCTTATGAAGGTTTACCATCAGAAGCTCATTTTAAAAAAAAAAGAGTATCATATGTCAAAACTTTCACTTTCAAAGATGTTGCAAAAGACATTTTTTAAAAGGTTCACTCAATACTATATAGGGAATATTTAAACATCTAGTTAATAAGAGCACACAGCGCTGCAGAATTCTGCCTAGCTTAAAGGTGATTTTCTATACACTGACTGTCACTGTTAATGGTTCTGGTTAAAAGGTGTCTGTAATAGCACACCAGGTAATACAGCTTAAACTATAATACTTTCCCCAAAGGTACCTTCAGTACCCCTATAGTTATAGATACAAAGAAGATAAATCACTTTTTTTTAGCTGGACTCTAAATACACTTATTGAACAAACCACTTTTTTCAAAAGAGTGTTTGCATGAGATATTTGCTCCTAGCCATTGTGTTTGGCATTCAAGTTTTCTTCTTCTTCTCTTTGGGAGCACTGTGCTCTTCACATACAAGCCCCTTTTGGTGGCTCAACCTCATTCACATTTCAGCCTCTGCTCTGATTTTTGCCCATCTTATCCCCCTAACCCCTACTCCCATTGGTTTGCTTTCACTGTAAACCTATGAGGTCTAGTGGGTGTGCCAGGAAGCCAGCAGCCTGCAGTGGTTTTCAGTCCCTGCTAAAAATCACCTTTCAGCTGCTTGCTGACAAATGGCTGCTTTATACTTGTATACGCTCTAGAGGCAGGCAGCAAACATTCTTCAAGTTCAAATGTGACATTTAACGTTCGATGAAGAAATCCAGAGCTGTAGCCTGGCCTGGACTTAACACATAGTCACAGCATTTTAACAAATACTGCAGTACTTTCAGAAGGCAAATGAAACCCAATGGCCCCTGAATCCACTCAATATGCAAAGTAAAATATATGTTGAACCTTGTCAGGATAAACTCCAATTGCAAGGAACTCTAGAGCTGTTCTGCTTCTTCCAGGCAATTCAGTGAGCTAGCTCTCCTAAATACTGAGCCACGACTGCTACCCATATCCTCATCCCAATCATCCACACTGCAGCCATAACCCCAGCAAGATTCTTGTCCCCTCCCCATCCAACCAATCTAAGCAAACCACAATTAGACACCTGCTGTGTAAAGTCAAGTGCATTACACTAAGCTTTTTTCACCATCAATCAACTACTTATCTATTTAGTTGCCATTACAGGTCTGGGACAAATTTAAAGTTTTCTTTGACTAGAACTTTACTCCAAGGATGTACAGACAGGGATAAGGTGATTCTTCACTAAAAGGAAAAAAAGGTTCTCCTGTTTCAAGTGCTTGTCAAAAGTAAAAAGAGTTTAAGTTCTCTTTCTCACTTTCCAGGGACCCTAACTTGGCACTGGTCTTCTTTATTTTTGGTCTGCCTTTCCTTGCAAAATGAAAAAAAGTGAGTAATACTAAGAGATTTCCATACCCCGCAAAGAGTAATATTGCTAGAAGTATAGGAAATCAATTTTGAAGTTTCTAAAGTATTAGAGCACCATCATGTAAGTCTGCTTCAGAATTCACTGTTTGTAATTTTGTCCCCATCTTACTCAGAAAGAAAATATCTTGTGGTACATTTAGGTTCTAACCTTTCAAAGAGCAAAAATACACAGAAGCCAGTCTTAAGCTTCCCTAGGCCAGCTTCAATGGAGCGTCAGAGGTATGCCACTAATGGGATAGCGGTGAGGAGCCAACGTTTCTTAAAATAAGTCACTTTTCCATTCAGACAGTGTCTCCATTTGTCTGCTAAGTCTACGACTCATAGCTGATGCAAAACAGTAGCTGAAAACGAACACATCCTGACAGCAGAACAAGCAATAGGCAGAAACCTCCCATTTCAGTGAAGAATGAACCCAGCCTGGAAAGGGGAAAAGGCAGCATGTGTGCTCATCTTAGGTGACCACCTGAAAATTTTCTGCCAATTCCAAACTAACCACAGCTAGCAATTCTTTGCTTTGCCACTCAGTTCTATCATTTCTTCTTCCTACACCCATGGAAACGACTTCCTGTTTATCAAACAAACGCTTCTTTCCAAAAAAGCAGGGCGAGGCCAAGATAACTTAGCACCTCTGAGCGGGTTAATAGGAGTGCACTCCCTTTAATATGCTATTGTCCTCTAACTCCCAGGCGCGGGCTGCCACTCACTAGAGGAAGAGGGTTTGTCATTTTGTCTTCCTTGCCAGGAATCCAACTACCTCTTACTGGGCTTCTTGCCTTGTTGTTGCTTCTTGTCACTATCTCTTT